TTCTGTCAGGAATGAGCAGTATTGAATAACATAAAAAGCACAACTATTAACAATGCAAGGAATGATAAGGCAAAAGCAATGCAATTCAAGAACACTCTATAAATGTAAAAAGCCTTTAAAATAGGTTCTGTACAAGGTTAGCCAGTTAGTGTATACTGCATTTGCAAGTTATTGTGTATTTAAAAAATTAATGAAAGATATAATTATAGAACCATTACCAGTGACCTTTTCCAAAATGACTCTGTCATGTATCTGTAAGCATTTCAGAATTGTTTTCCAGGTTCCTAATGTTTTTTCTGCAAATTACTGACGTCTACCCTGGCAATAAAAACCTTGCCTTGTTTCTCCAAAGAAGGGATTGGGAAGCCTTTTCTGGTTTCCTAGCAGTGGTTTCATGGTGAGTTATCCATAAAGCCAGTTGAGAAGATGCTGTCCTATTGGCTAAGATTTTACATGGAGTTTTAAATGCTTACTCTGAGGGACAGAACAGAATCTATCCTGTCTAAAGCCTATAAATTACCATTCTATGGCTTAGATTGGAGAACCATTGTTAAATTGAGCTTAGTCAGAAAACTGACTCTGTCGAAATGCCATCTGGGCTCTTGTATTTATTGCTTCTCAAGGACTTCCAGATCAGACTGCTTAGATGGAAAAAATCTAAACATAGTTTTTGTGTTGGCTTCACAGAGTTGGACCTTGAAAACTCATCTCTCTTCTTTTGTCTTCTGTCCTTGCAACAAGCGATTAAGAGCTTTCAGTTAGACCATGGTAGAAAATATTGAGGCAAAATTCGTAGTACTTAATATCCCCTTTTCCCCTCTATCATCTTGATAGTTCAGCTGTATTTATTAAAAAAAATAAAAATAAAAAATCCACCTCCCTAATTTAGTGAGCAGAAAAGTGAATAAGAAACAAATGCACATGGGAATCAGATAAATGAGATGGTCTCTTCAAAGCAATGTGAGGACGCACCAGTTGAGTAGGGAAAAATTGACTCCCACCAATCTATTTCCATTTTTTCCCTTGGGACTTTTTTTGTCCAACTGCTCTGGATACAGAAATCAAGATGTTCATACTGGAACACTTAATGTTAAGCACTTACTGATACCTGAACACTAGAGGCTTTAAGATGCTGCAGCTCTTTGCTGTCTGCCCAGCCCTCTCCAAAACAGATATGGTGGGGAGAGGTCGTATGCATGCACCTTAGTCACTACAGAAAAATATCCAGTGATGTAGTTTACAAAACTGATGGCAGCAAGGTTCACCTGCAATACCTGATTATGCTCAGTCTTTGTTCCCAGTGATGATTTGCTTAGCCCATTTTTAATTCCACAAAAGATGAGTCTTTTCATCACTTCCCAAGGAAAGCTGTTTGAGGGTCCAGTGGATCCCCACAGATGATATAGCACTCTTTTCCATTCCTTATGTTTGCTTACTCTCATAGAAGTTTCAAATGCACAACAGAGTCATCTTGAAATATAATGTAACCTTCATCATGTTGGCTGGTCAATCAAAACATGCTGTAGGTGTCTGGGTTGCACTTGTTATTGGTGAGCAGTGCTCACAGGGTGCAGTTGCTTGTTAGCTTCTGTATATATCAGCATCCCTTGTCTCTGAAGGCTGCCCTGCAATGGTTGATCAGGCTTAAGAAGGTTTTATTAGCAAGAGGGATGGGGGAGTTACTACTTTAGGAATCAGGTGACCCAAAACCATCTCTGCAGTACAGAGGAAAACATCCCTCTCTGTTCACACTCTCTAATTACATTTAGTGTAGTATTGTTTCTTTCTAAATTATAGCAATTATATACAGAGATCTTCTTTGAAATCATTTAATTAAAGAGTAGATAATGGTCTTGTGCTTCTGGAATGCTAATATACTGCCTTCCACTTAGGAAACTGGGGTTTTTTCCATTAATAAATATTATCACAAAAAAAATTCAGTGGCAGAGGGGTTTGGTTTTGGTTAACTTATTTTAATAGATTTAAAAAGCAACTGGTTCTGGAGACTTTTATAAAGCACAAAGAAGACTTTTGCTGTCTTACTGGACAGTTAGCTAAGGGCGAACCCTCGAACAACATTTCCCTTGAGATACATTGGCTGCCAAAGTGTTTGATCTCTCCAGATGTGTTATCTTCTGGGTTGAAGCAAGTGTTTGTGTTTGATTATGTTCTCCCCTCCTCTTGCTATTTTTTCTGTGTAATACACACATGCAGTCAAATCCTGAAGTGATATAAATCTGCTGGACTAAATGATTCTGCCTGCTGAGTTGCTGTTTCACAGGAATGATGATTTAGTCATGCTTCACATCCAGGACAAACAAGATTCATGGGAGAGCTGCCCAGCTGTGCAATAGGACTGTGACCAGACGTGCAGTCTGTAAGAGTATGTGCTGAAAGTAATTGTGGCATGAGAGCTGGTGAGGTTTACCCAGTGCCAAGGGAAAGTGGGAAGGAGAATTGGAGTTAGAAGTCCTACTTGAGTACAGTTTCAGAGGCCTTCTGCATCTCCACTATGTACCGTTTCCCATTTCTCCCTTCTCCCTCCTTCTCCTGCGAAGTACCCTGACACCACACATTGCTATGGTTTCCACGGGTGGGTCTTGGTCCAGGTTGTGCCTTCTGTGTTGACATACAAGAATTGTGGTTTCTTTTCTAGCTTTGCCTGAATATGATGGTGTTTCCTATCACTAATACCCCACAATTAGGACTACAGTAAGAAATGTTCTGAAGATGCCGCAACAATCCACCTAAATCCATTCCACCGTACAAATCGTTCTCCAATTACTCATTGCTAACCTGTGTACACAATTGTCACAAGTTCCTCTTGCATTGTATCCTCTTCTTTTCTTGTCAGCTTCTTGGAGCTTGCCTTTGTGAGGCAGAACCTGGATGTAGAAAGACACCCACAGCAAACCCACAGCACCAAGCTCTCAGATCTCCCCCACCCCACTTTCCCTGATCCCATGAGATGAGACAGGTCTAAAGGGAGTGCATGACTGATTCCTGTATGTTCTCTGTTTCACAAAAAACAGCAGAGGAATTTGGTGCAGGCTACAATCTATAGAAAGAGTAGTTTGGAAAATGAGCAGAGACCAAAGCCAACAACCCTGTGTGATTACAGTGTAAATAAAGATGAACTAGAGTTAAAGAATGGCAGCACACTGAGGACACAGCAGGATCTGGGTTTCAGTCAGTGCTTGGAAATGGAATAGAAGTTTTATCTTTTGTTTCTGTTTCTCTTTCATAGGGAAATTTGTAAATCATCTCTCTCTCTCCCTCTTTCTTTTTTTAGTCTGGAATAATTAGAGCAACAAAAACTTTAATCTCATTAGTGGCTTGGGTGAAAATGTAGGTTAGTGAAAGATCCAGCGTAATGAGAAAAAACTTTTGTTCTTTGCCTGATAAATCTCACAATAAGAGTGATACAATGACATTTCATGAGTGTCAGAAAGATTTGGGTTACAGTACATATAGAATTTTTAAAATCTGGAACTTGTATTTTCAATGAGGTTTTAGATTCTTTTATATTTGAGATAGACAAGAGGTTGTCATGTTTTAATGACAAATCAACTTGATCATTATCAGGGGTTTTGTTGTTTATGTGTATTGAGATGTTCCCCCTACCAATGAGAAGCTGTAGTTTTGTTCATGGCTTTTAAAGTCTGGTCACCCATCCTAATATCCTCCTATTACACACCTCTTTGGAAATCCAGCTGCAGTTGATTGAAAAGCTGCTCCTTACTGAGAAAATCACAGCTGGCCAAGGGAATAGCAAGCTGTTACTTGATCGAAAACTAAGCACCCTGCAGCACTTGTGCAATGTTTCTGGATGGATGGAGTCTTTCATCTGGGTACCTGGTGTTATTTGTTAATTAAACCATGTTTTTACTAAGATTTTGCTTTCTTCTGTAAAGGTGTGAGCTTCCAACATGTGGAGTCCATTAGTATTTGTGATGATGGTACTTCAGTGATGTATTCCATCAATGCTCATTGTTGCTTTGGTCCTTTCCTTCCAGACACTTAAGCAAGCACACAGGTTTTCCTGCATGTGAAGGAGGGCTGTATAATTGGAATAACATTTAGGGAGACCTGTGTTCAGCAGCCAGTTCTGCCACTGATGTTCTGATCCAAGCTTGTGCAGAAGCCTCTGGTGCTATTCAATTTTGTATGATCCCTTTCATCTTCCCGTTTGTGGGATGTTCTGTGCCTCAGCTGTGAATTACAGTCTGAGTCCTTCCACTGTTTTTTGAGTGCTCCAACTGTTCTGTAAACTGCCTTACTCAGTACAAGCCTTGTGTTGCTCTGAGTGGCATGGGATAATGTGTCATTTTGATCCTGGAAATCCATGTACTACTTAACCAGATGAACCATGTAGTGTGATCAGTGACTGCTGCTGCTGCTGAGTGACCTACTCAAAATAATTAAGAAAAAACTCTGCTGATAACCTTACAGTGACGATCATTTATAGCTCCACTCCTACTAGCTGCAGCCAACATTCACCAGATGGAAGGGATGTTGCTGTCTTTGCAGATCACTTGCCTACAGTCCATATCCCAATTATCTTATTTCAGGTGATTATTTTACAATTCATTAAGTAGTAAGTTTGTGCAACACAAAAGTTAAGCAGTAAAGAAGCTGAGTCAGCTAAGAAAGGCTTGATTTTTAGACAACCAAATCCATGTATTCATCAGAATAGCTCCATTGACATTAGGCACATTACTTTTTAGTCTGGTTTTGTATTATTCTTGAGCAATACCTAGCTGCCTGTATTAGAGTCAGGGTCCATTGTACTCAGTACTGGAAGCATGGAAGACCTTCCAACACAGGCTGTACAAGGGGTCAGGAAAAGGCTAAACAATCCTAGGATGTTACAGGAACAGAATCTCTGGCATCAAGCTCAAAGACTGTGTATTGCTTTCTGCAGAGGAGATTAATGAGAAATTATTTGCTTAATGGAAGCATATCTCTGGCTGATTCTGATTCCTCTCTCCCATGCACAGAGTTTTTGGGCACTTCAGTCTTCGTTCTGAATGGCAGCTGGTCAAGGTGGACTATAAGTCAATCTTCAACCGCAGGTGTAACAAAGATGACTACCAAACCTGGCATCTGCACAATCAGGTACTCTCACTGTGTAAGGAGAAGAAGATGAAGGTTCCTTTTCCCCTACTGTGTTGCCTGGTAGGAATGTACTGATCTTTTCAACAGATCAGTAACCCATTGCTGCTTTACTTCTCCTAATGCATATGCATGAATAAACACATGGCCGGACTTTTCTGGGCAAGTTAGGGAGACTTAACTTCCCTTTGCATGAAAATATTCCACTGCACCAGCTGGATCTTTCTGCCCTCAGCTTTCAGGGCAATGTAAAACCACACCTCATGACTGAATTGTAGGAGACACTGAACTCTTTGTAGCTCTGTCAGTGACTCATGAAAATAATTTTCTTTCACTTTGCCTTTATTTTCCCTACTACTCAAAAATGAAAATAAAAACATTTATTCATCCTGCAAGTCCTGCAGGTGTTTACAAAACTCTGGGGAGCCCTTGAATAAAAAACACCAGAGAAGACCAAATTATTTCATTTTATTCAGGGATACACACTTTGCTTTTCATACCTTCTGGCTTATGTTCATGCTGGATACATTTAGGTCCTGAAGCCACTAGAACTGAGAGAGCTCAGCTCTGAAGATTACTTATGGGTTACTGGCCACCAGTACAATGTCCCACTCCCTGCAGGGCAGCATAACTAGAGCCAGAACTGTTGGCACTGAGATGTTTCTGAATGAAATCCATGCATTAGAAATGAGCATTAATTTGGTAAGGTTGTATTAGATAACTGAAGTCGTAGAACTGAATATATGAAAATAATTTAGATGAAAAAAAAAGGGAAGATGTGTAGCCAGGCTGCCATCTTGGAAATCACTTTTAATGGGAAAGAGAAGTATTTCGATTAGATGTTATCCTTTTTCCTTACTTGCACGCAGACAAATTATTTCTGCATCAGAGAAAATTCTGTTTATAGCAACTCACCTGAATGTCAAATGTTTATTTTAGATTAGCTACTCCCAGTAGTAACCTTTCTGTTCAAAAAGCTCAGGATAACACACCATCGAAATTATTTGAGGCCTATAACAAAGCCAGATCTATCAAGGAAAGAGGAGGGAAGCCAGGAGTCCTGGGTTCTACAGCTAGATTTTGTCCCTGCCCTGGGTTTCAGGCTTGGGCACTTCTTCCTAGTAGATTGCCTCTGTCATATGAAAAAAAAACGTGGAGTACATACACATTGTCTTTTCAGGATAATTCATAGGACTAAAAAGATTGATGAATGCCTTTTGAAATATGGCATAAGTGGGTGCAATGGCTTGGGCACTCAGGCATTTTGGATACGTTGTCATTGGCATCACAACTCAATGCTGAACACTGTGCCCGTGGGTCCTCCGAAGGGGGCTTTTACATTTGCAAAGCCACAAAAGGGAGCTAGGCTCTTAGGTCTCAACTCTCCCAGTGGTAATTACTTACTTTCCTTGCCTTCTGTGCCTTTTGACAAAATGTTTCATTTAGGGACCAGCTGCCACTATAACTCTGCTCTTCTTTCTGCTATTTGCTCTTGGCTACTGAAGGGAGAGCCTTGTGTCATGGGAGAGAGGAAGATCTACAAAAAACGCAAGCCTGGAGCCCAGTGTTCCCTAGGTCGGGACTATTCCCACACTGTTGTGTCTGAACCATGCGTCTGTGGTCAAGGGGACTTTGAGTGGTGAGTATGTGGCTCTGGGGACTTTTGCAGGGACTGTTCTTGTTGCATTGACAGTGGTCAAGCTACTGCCCAGACAGAAAACCTTGCAGAGAAACTGGTTCTTGTGCAGCTTTGCGGCTGCGATCGTACTATATAGCACAGATGTGATCCCCGTGCCTGTTGTGTGAGGGAGGTATCCCCTTCATCTGTGGCAGAGATTTGTTAAACTCCATGAGAAATCCAAACCTGGAATTCAAAAGCAGAAAATTGCAAGTGCTGATTGACTTTTTTTTTTGTCCATCATTCTAGAAGAGTGATAGGTGGGACTCTTCCCTGCTCCAAAGCATGTCCCTTACAGGAGAAAGAGGGAATTTCTGTTCTCACTTTCAGGGTCACTGAATGCCTAGGGAGTAAGCTAGCAAAACATGCACATTTTTATCATTATTCCTTCGAATTCCTTGGAATTATTTGTTGCTTTTTAGCAATGTTTTATTGAGAAGTCTTCTGAAAGGACTTCTCTACCATGACTGTACAGCCCACCCATCTCAGATGTAGTTACTTGTTTTTCATAAATATTGGTGTCTCTAACTTAATGGGGCCATAATTTCCAAACTGCTTTAAGGTAACTTTGAAAGCAACTTAAAAATAAAATAGGGAGAGATGAACTACTACTTGATCTTGCTTGACAATCAGGGATAGAAGATGGGAACATGTATAACAGTCAGGATCTCTGCGCAAGGGATTCCTACAGGGAACCTGTGATAGGCAATATTTCAAAGATTTAAGACTGTCAGTAGGTGTGATTCTTGAGCTTACGTGATCAGAATGTCATTTAAATGGAGTTCAAAATATCCTGAAAGCAGATCAGCTGAGAAAATGTTTTCATTTTTATAGTAGGTTATCAGGATCAGTGTCTGATTCAGTATCAGTGTGATTCCTGGAAATTTCACTTCCTTTCAAATCCTACCCGAAGAGGTGTGAGGTATGAGATCTGCACTGTTGAGACTCACAGTTCTTTTTAGAACATGAACACACTGAAATGCAGAAAAATGAATAAAAATTATAGACTAAAGGTTTTCTTAAAAATTTGAATTATAGAATCATAGAATAGTTAGGGTTGGAAAGGACCTTGAGATCACCTTAATATCATCTAGTTCCAACCTCCCTGCCATGGACAGGGACGCCTCACACTAGACCATGTCGCCCAAGGCTCTGTCCAACCTGGCCTTGAACACTGCCAGGGATGGAGCATGTATCACTTCTTTGCACAGCCTGTTGAAGTTTAAACCCATTACCCCTTGTCCTATGACTACAGTCCCTAACGAAGAGTCCCTCTCCAGCATCCTTGCAGGGCCCCTTCAGATACTGGAAGGCTGCTATGAGGTCTCCACGCAGCCTTCTCTTCTCCAGGCTGAACAGCCCCAACTTTCTCAGCCTGTCTTCATACGGGAGGTGCTCCAGCCCCTTGATCATCCTTGTGGCCTCCTCTGGACTTGCTCCAACAGCTCCATGTCCTTCTTACGTTGAGGACACCACACACAGTACTCGAAGTGGGGTCCCACAAGAGCACAGCAGAGGGTCAGGATCTCCTCCTTTGACCTGCTGGTCACACTTCTTTTTGATGCAGCCCAGGATATGGCAGGGAATATTGCAGTAGTTTGTCTTTAAGGGATATGGAGCAGAGATTTTAATCTTATCTGGATGGATGTTTAATTTGTTCCTAATGCCAATATTACATCTGAGACTCCTTAGCTTGACTTGGGAGATCTTTTCCCCTTTGTTCTCATCATGGGAACTTACAGGATGAACTATCTTTTACTGCAGTATCTGCCCTTGGAATTGGCATATGCCTCTGAGCTGAACTAAGCACCAATCTCCAGACATGCCTATGAATTTGGTCGCTTTTTTATTTCTTTTTTCTTTCAGCTTTGTGCCTCACCACCTTTCTATTTTTACAGTGAAACTTGTCTTTTCTAAGCTGTAAGTGGAAAACTGTGGTAGGTAAATTGGCCTTAAGTGCTCTTCTGCCTTGAAAAGGGTCTGCATCAGAATGCACTTTTTCAATCAATTGATGTGTTCCTTGCATGAATTCAGCATCATTTTTGCTTAACTTTGCCACTAACTTGAGAGAACATTGTTGTTAACTTTGTCAGTCCTGCAGAGGAAATTCAATTAGAGGATAGCAAGCTGACTTTTGTTTCAGCAGTTTTGCACTGCCAACAGAATTGTCAACTGGCTTCCAAATGCAAAATTGTTATAGCTGGTGATGGAGAATCAGAGGAATCAGCTTCAGTTTAAGGGTTCATTTTGATGCCAGTCTTCAGGGCTGACTGGAAGAAGGTATGTGGCTATCAATTTGAAGAAAATACTAGAGGTGATGGAAATGGGCACCAAGCTTAATTATCTTAGAAGTAATTATCAGAGGGAGAGGGTGGGCTCATCTGCTCTGACTTGTGACTTCTAAAGGATAAGACAGCTACTTAAATCAGTGGCAGGATACAGGTTATTCTAGAATATGATTCATCTGCCACCTTTTGGATGTCAATATGAGAAGGGGAAATAGGTCCCCACTGTATCTATAGTTGGAAGGACAGATCCAACTCTTTCACTTGATGCTTTTGAAGAGGAAAGATCTCAGCCTTTTCTGGCTAGGTTCACAGTTACCAGTTGTTCTTGGAAGCACTGACTGGCCTGTCAATGTGTGAACTGTTCTCATGTGTGCAAACAGGTCCTGTGGAGTGTCAGTGAAAGAAGAAGGAAGGACATCAGCTGGTGGTGTGTGAGTACACTGACCAGCAGGTCCCAACAGACAGACCCTCTGCTTCCCCAATAAGTAGGTTTGGAGACTGGTCTGGTCACAGCATCCCATGCTACTAAGGTGTGATGACACTTGCCTTCAGGAGCTGTGCAGACAGGACAAATCACTTCAGGAGCCCTACAGCACAAACTGTGAGCTCTGTGCTCCCTCCCATTTGGCCATAGCAGCCTTGCCCCTGTCTGCCTCATGTTGCAATGCTATCTGTTTCCTGCTGTTAGATATAAGGCTAGTCTGAGTTTCGGGGGCAGAAACCATGATCCAGGGCCCCAGTTCAACAAATCCTCATGAGTCAAGATCAACCCTTGCAGTCATTTCCAGAAGCAAACCCTGGCCTTTTTCTGACAGAGAGAATGGCAGAAGGAACTCAGAAGTGTTATTAAAGTGCTTGCTGATCTTTCTTTTCCCTCCTCCTGTTTTTATTTACACTGTCAAGATAGCTTTCCAGAGAAAGACAGCGCAGCAGCTGGACTTGATTATTTCCTTAACTTATGCAAACCCTGGGGCTTATGAGAAGGAAGGTGGGCAGCATGTGAGGTTTTAATATACATTTACCAGAAGTTAATGAGCAAGCAGAGAACCTAGAGGGCATACAGCAATGTTGTCTTTAATTTTATTAAATATTTATGCAGCTCTTTTCTTCTTTGGGGCAAAGTACAGCTCCTCCTGAATATTTTTAATTACCAAGTCACTGCCAGGCATTTTTGACTGTGCAGGTCGGACCCACTGAGAATGATTAAATTGAATGTTGAGAGAAAGAGCATTAGGGAATCTCCAAACCTTTTAAAGTAGCTTGCAGAATTTTTACCCTTTAAGAAAGGAACAGCAGCAGCCTGGATCTCTGGGGACATAGCACAGTTTTGTCTCAGCAAAGCTCTTCCTAGAGACTTTCTGTTGGCAATGCAGACTTTGAATACGGGAAGGATAAAACTCAGAGTGTCCTAAAGAGCACAGAGGGCTTTCAAGGCAGTGGCTTCTGTAGTGTCTGTGTTTCCACAGAGATTTAGTTTTTTGGCATTTGTTAACCTGTTTCAGGCAAAAATCCAGAATCTCTTTTTATTTGCCCTTTGAATCCAGCCTGCCAGTAAAGGCTGTGCATAGAAACCGGATCCAGAGCCTATTAGAACTTACGGAAAGCTTCAGATTAATCCTATCACTGGCATGCAAAGGCAGCTGTAGAAAGAAGTCTTGGATGTAGTTGTGTTCATTTCTACTCTTTGGTGGTCCAAGGAAGCATCAATACCCTGGATTACCTTCCCCATGTGACACAATGCCATGTAATCCTTAGACTACCAAGTTGGCTGTGTTGTTGTAGTTTAGTGTTGGAAAAACATCAGCTATATTTTTCTTGCAGGCCAGTCATAGCTCAGTTAAAGAGCAGGGAGGCCATTAACATATGTAAATATACATACCTTGGCTAGTTGTTCAGGAAGTGCTTAAAGTGTTTTATATTCCTAACTGCTTTGCTGAGACGAAGTGGTATTAGATGTTGGAATTGATATGGTTTATTCTGAAAGCAAGACTCCAAATTGCAAGGAAACCAAAAGAACCCAACAAGTGAAATTATTAGACATTAATAGAAAAATAAGTTAACAATACAGTTGTCTTCCTGAATCTCTGCCCATGTTTTGTTGCCAAATGAAACACAAGTCCCCCAGTGCTTTGCAAGGTTGGTAGTTCTGGTGTTGTCAGGTATTGCATACCTTCTGTGAACTGTGTCCTGCCTCTCAAACAGATTAAGCACTTTTGCCTCTGGGTGAGCCCATTCCATCATGTCACACCATCCAACAGAGAGCTGCTAACACATACATGCTTTGGGGAGCAAAAACATCACCTAGAAGTCTGAGCTAAATCTAGTGAATGGGTACAGTGATGCACTCATGACTTATCTCCATAGTGACTATGGGTACGAGAGACACAGCAACAATCAGTGTGTCCCAGCCTTCTGGTTCAGCCCGTCCTCCCTGTCCAAGGAGTGCAGCATGGGTCAGAGCTACTTGAACAGCACTGGGTAAGTGAATCTTGCAATCGCGCTGTTGTTGGTGACCTTGCAGTAGACAAGAGAACCTGGATCGTTCTTTTTTCTCTCCATCCCATCTGGCTCGTTTCTGGTCTTACTCATGAAGTAACGTTTGCAGCAGCATCTGTGTGGAGCATTGCCTCATTCCTCAGAGATAGGGAGAAGCACATTAACATAAGTGATATGTAGATACTGTATTTCTGTCAAGTGATGTATGATCCCTGAAGCATAGACTTGAAGCTCCCCTATGCTGCAAAATTAAAACAAATCGGGAAGGTCTATCTAAGAGACAGCTGAACATTTAAAAGGACAAGTTTGAGGTATTTCACACTGGTTTTCATTAAACCTCTTCCTGTCTTACAGCTCCTATCTATAGAAACTTCCCTTCTGGGAAGGCTTAAATGGACAATGTTTAGCCTCTTTCCCCTCCCGCCCCTCTGCCATTTTCACTTTGTGCATACAACACCTTGTGATTTCAGACAAGCTACATGTGCTGGTTTCTCTTGGTTCCTTTTACCCAGAACCAATGGCAAGTGTTAGTTTATTGTGGTAATACTGCTTTGCAAATGCTATTCTATTGTGCAGGGGGTACTCTGAAACTGTTTTTGCACTGGGTGGTGTAAAACTGAGATGTTCATTCTCAGGCAGTGCAGGCCCTGAGGACTTTGTAGGGTTGCTTCTGAGTCATGGATCCTGAATGCTGTATTGTTATGGCAGGGTTGTTTGTGGCTGGTTGATACGTGTGGCTGAATGAAGAGAGGCTGCTGAGAGTCTGGAGTCACATAACTTGCTTCAGAGACCCCCTTTCAGCTGTAAGGTTGCTATAAACATGGGATGTAATTACAGGAGCCCTGGCCAGTATGACTGCTTGCAGCCTTGACAAAGAGCAAGAAGAAAGTACTTGGGGTCTGTGTCTTCTTAACCAATCCTGTATTTTTACTGTGAAATTACCAGGAAGGGTTAATCCTCCTCATCAACATTGGGAATAGCCAAGTGTCTTGCTAGTTAGCTAACCTCCTCCCAGAAGAGCTGAGAGAAAAACCCATTCCTTGAACTATTTTAAAATTGGACTGGACAAAGCTTTTGGCAGATCATACCAAGTGCCTTCGAGCAGAGGCAGACAAAACATAATAAAAAGCATAATTAAAAAGCTGGGATGCAGGGTGCAATCCTGCATGCATGGGGAGTTGGAGGAGTTATCCTCCTTTTAGCAGCACAGAGTAATTCACCTCCACAATGTGTGTCTTTTCGCAGTGATGCTGCTGAGAATCTCTGGAGGAGGTTGGAATGTGATTTGTTTGGCTTTCTCCGATTTAATAAAGCGTTAGGTTTCTTCGATTCTTCCTTTCAGTAAGGGAGTTGTGCAGGCAGTTAGCCTTTGAAAACGTGCACCCACTAATATGGAGAAACAAAACAAAAGCAAATCAAAAGAAACTTTTCTGCCCACCACCTAAGCCCAATCTCCTTTTGTTACTGTTCCCCAGGTACCGAAGGATTGTGTCTAACAACTGCACAGATGGCTTGCGAGAGAAGTACATGGCCAAGGTGGAGAAATGCCCTGGAAAAGCACCTCGTGGACTGCACATCCTCACTACTGATGGAAAGCTGATCACGGAGCAGGGACACAATGCCACCTTCATCATCCTTATGGAAGAGGTGTGTTAGTGGTCTCAGCAAACCTTTCACTGCATGGCAAGAGTGGCATTCTTTTCCTTCATCTGCCAGGCTGCTGACAGGAAAAGAGAGATCAGGTGGGGTCATGAAATGATGACCATGCCTGAGATTTAGAAGAATTAATGAAAAGGCTCTAAGTGAAACATACAAAAAAAAAAATCACATTGGGCCAAGCCAAAAGAGCATCTGGCTGGTTATCATGTCTGTCAGTGATGATGAAGCCAACACTGAAGAAAGTTAGATCTTGTAAAAAATATGTCTCCCCATTAGCTTCTTGCTGCCTCCAGTGAACTGCAGTTTATGAGGCAGAAACAGTGTCTCTATGCTTAATAATTCTGTTTCGGGTATGAAAAGCTTTAGCTGAATCTTTGCTGGGAAAGGTTAAGAACAGTGTGGAATTTTTCAGACTCATGGGAATCAGTGAGAGACATTATTGTTTTGCAATAGTAATTGAGCCTCCTCAAACCACCTCAGAGCAACCCAGCCTATATGTATTTTATTTATTTATTGGTACCTTTCTGTCTGTAGCCAACAGTAGTGTAAGTGATACCAGGCAATGCTGGTGCCTGATGCATCACGATAATGAGTCACTTCTGGTGATCAGAGTCAGACACCTCTCTGGCAAACATGTGTGGTGCAACCTCCATCACCAAGGCTTACGGCTCAGTGGATAGTTGGATAGTTGGAAGGCACTTGCTGTGTATTCAGGCTGACAGGATGTTTTCAAGTGTTTGTATGCCTCTTCTTGTCTGCGATTTGATTTGGTGTTTAGGGATATATGTGACTGCACCCCAAAAAACCCTGCTGTGTTTGCAGCTGGTGCATTTCCCTGATGGCTTCTGACTGCCTGTGGAATGTGTCATTGGAGGTCCAACAGCTATTTTCCCACAATGTATTGCATTACATTTGTTTTCTGGTTAAACAAAACAGTCAATTCACAACATCACTTCTAACATCTTTTGGTGTCTCAGGAGAGACAGCCAGGGAGTGAGGCGATGTTGGGGAACTGCAAGTACATTTTGTCATCTACTCTGTCCTGTGTACTTCATTTTGGGACATCACCTGAAGACAGATGTGTCATGGTCATGAACATAACAATGATGACACCAAGGACAGACTGGATGTCTGTCTCCTCAGTATCTCGCTCTGACAACAAGCAGCATTAGGTCTCTGAGGAAAACATGCTAGAAATGGTGCAAGCCTTGTGCCACTTCCCCTCCCAGTCTCAGGAGTAGTCTCCGTTGGCAGCTTAGACCTTCAAGAGCGGAAGAAGCTGTTGTAAATCTGAAGCATACTGACACAGGGAAGTTTTTTTCTCATGACACCTTGTTATTTTATTTTATTATGTTTTTAACTCACACTCTTCTATTATTTTAAATTCTTATACAGTAACTAAATGTTTCTTTGGGACCACACTAATCTGACAGGGTCTCTTTACATACTTCCTCAGAAGTTCATGCATGTTCTGCTTTTATACAAAGGGGATTTCTTGTCTACCTGGCTGATTCTTTTATATTCTGCAGGCTTGACATGGTAAGACGATTTGTATAGACAGTCTGAGTGGGAGTTCAGAAAAGAACAGACATAATCTAAAAATTAGGAATCTAGTAGTAATTTATTAAGGAACTCGAGCGGAACTGCTGCGTACAAAGAATGATAAACAGATGGGTAATAAGGCAGCAGTCAAGGTAGCTGAAGAGTGGAGTCTTTACAAAGCTTTAGAGATAGAAGAGGCAGCTGAATAAATATGTGAGGGCGTTCACTCCATGTCCTTTGTTGAAAAATAAGAATAGTTAAAAAAATATTTCATTGAAACAATTTTTTTTCTAGGGGAAGAGGATTTTCAAGAACATGTCTTTGTGGGTGAACAGCTTATTCCACAGACAGTTGTGTGTTAGGTTTGTTTCTTAAAAGAATAGGTTTCTTTTTTAAGAGGAAAAACGGTAAAAGAGCATTGAGATTTTCACTGCAAGTGTGGAACTGGCAGTGTTCAAGACCAGGTTGGATGGTGCTTGGAGCAATGTGGTCTAGCGGAACGTGTCCCTGCAGGGGGTTGGAACCAGATGGTCTTTAAGGTCCCTTTCAACCCAAACCATTCTACAATTCTATGATTTTGGGCAAAAGTATTCCAGTCTTCAGTGTGAACTTGAGACAAATGAATTGTCATCAAAATGGCATTCTTCCTTGTTAGCTGGAAGAAATAATTTCTGTAGAACTCTTACTTATTACACACCTTCCTGTCATACGGATTCATTCCTGCCTCTCTTCACTTTCTCCAGTCAGTTTGTTTCGTGGTGGGATGTTTTGCACCTATGTCTACATTTGCTTTCTGAGCCAAACAGCAGTCTGACAAGTCTTCTTGTGGATATATCTGTGTGGTGTCCATTCAACCTTCCTACTGTTTCATAGAATCATAGAATGGTTAGGGTTGGAAAGGACCTTAAGATCATCACGTTCCAACCACCTGCCATGGGCAGGGACACC